AAACACTGGAGAAACTACCGATAGAAGAAACTTACCTCAATACCATAAAGGTTATAGATGATAAACTCAAAGCCATATACTTGGAGAAAAACTGAAAGCATTTCCTCTCAACCAGTTTAATTTTTTTAAAAAATAATTTGCTGTAATTAAAAAAGAGTATCAAGTTTTCTGGTAGAATTTTTTGGATCTTCTAGATATAGAATTATATCATAAGCAAATAGTGATAGTTTGAGTTCTTCTTAACTTATTTGTATCCCTTTAGTTTCTTCGTTTTGTCTAATTGCCCTGATTAGAGTTTTAAGGATGATGTTGAATAGAAGTGGTGAAAGAGGGCATCCCTGTCTTGTTCCAGTTTTTAGTGGGATTGCTTTCAATTTTTCTCCATTTAGAATGATGCTGGCCTTGGGTTTAATATATATAGCTGTTACAATGTTGAGGTATGTTCCTAGTTTTTCTAGTGTTTTGAACATGAAGGTGTGCTGTATTTTGTCAAATGCTTTTTCTTCATCTATTGAGATGATCATATGATTCTTGTTTTTAAGACTATTAATATGATGAATTACATTTATTGATTTCTGTATGTTGAACCAACCCCCTGCAGCCCTGGGATGAATCCCACTTGATCGTGGTGCACTGTTTTGTATGCTATTTGCCAGAATTTTATTGAGAATTTTTGCATCTATGTTCATCAGGGATATTGGTCTGAAGTTTTCTTTCTTTGATGTGTCTTTGTCTGGTTTTAGTCTAAAAGTGATATTAGCCTCATAGAATGAGTTTGGAAGGGTTTCCTCCTTTTCTATTTCATGGAATACTTTGAGGAGTATTGGTGTTAATTCTTTTTTGAAAGTCTTGTAGAACTCAGCTGAGAATCCATCTGGTCCTGGGCTTTTCTTGGTTGGTAGGCTTTTGATGGCATTTTCTATTTCATTACTTGAAATTGATTTGTTCAAATCATGGGTGACCTCCTCATTCAGTTTGGGTAGGTCATATGTCTCTAGAAATTTGTTGATGTCTTTGATATTTTCTGTTTTATAAAGTATAAATTTTCAAAATAGTTTCTAGTTATCTTCTGTATTTCAGACATGTCTGTTGTGATATTTCCTTCTTCAACTTATAGCAGGATACAAAATCAATACCCATAAATCAAACACATTCCTATATATCAGTGGTGAATTCACTGAAAGAAATTAGGAAAACTACTCCATTCACAATAGCTGCAAATAAATAAATAAATAAAATACCTGGGAATCAATCAAACAAAAGAGGTGAAAGACCTCTATAATGAAAACTACAGAACACTAAAGAAAGTAATTGGAGAAAACCTCAGAAGATGAAACCATCTCCCATGCTCTTGATAGGCAGAATTAATACTGTCAAAATGGCCATACTACCAAAAGCATTATACAGATTTAATGCAATTCCTATTAAAATCCCAATGACATTCTTCATAGAAATAGAAAAAGCAATCATGAAATTTATTTGAAAAAATAAGAGATCCAGAATAGCTAAAGTAATCATTAGCAAGGAAAGTGAAGCAATAGGCATCACAATACCAGACCTTAAACTATACTACAGAGCTATAATAACAAAAACAGCATGATATTGGTATCAAAATAGACTTGTAGACCAATTATACAGAATAGAGAACACATGAGACAAACTCACATAAATACAGTTATCTCATAATAGACAAAGGTGCCAAAAACATTCACTGGAGAAAAGATAGCCTATTCAACAAATGGTGCTGGCACAACTGGAAATCCATATGTAGCAAACCTCTATCTCTCAACCGCACAAAAATCAACTCAAAGTGGATCAAAGACTTAAGCACTAGAACAGAGATCCTGCATCTAATAGGAGAAAAAATAGGCTCAAATCTTTACCACATCAGCCTAGGATCCAACTTCTTTAATAAGATTTTTAAAACTCAAGAAGTAAAATCAAGAATAAATAAATGGAATGGATTCAAATTAAAAAGCTTCTTCTCAGCAAAGGAAACAATTAATAATGTGAGGAGAGAGCCTACAGATTGGGAGAAAATCTTTACCACATGCACCTCTGATAAAGCATTTATCTCTAGGATATATAAAGAACTTGAAAAAACTTAACACCAAAAAAACCCCCACAAATAACCCAATCAATAAACAGGCTAAGGAACTAAACAGACACTTCACAAAGAACAAGTACAAGTGATCAACAAATATATGAGTAAGTGTTCAACATCTTTAGCAATTAGAGAAATGCAAATCAAAACTACTCTTAAGATTTCATCTCATTCCTATCAAAATGGCAATCATCAAGAAACAGGCAACAATAAATGTCGGCGAGGATGTGGTGAAAAAGGTACACTCATACATTGCTGGTGGGACTGCAACTTGGTGCAGCCAATATGGAAAGCAGTATGGAGATTCCTCAGAAAACTGGGAATGGAACCACCATTTGACCCAGCTATCCCACTCCTTGATTTACACCCAAAGGACTTAAAATGAGCATATACAGTGATACAGCCACATCATTGTTCATAGCAGCTCAATTCACAATAGCTAGACTATGGAACCAACCTAGGTATCCCTCAATAGATGAATGGATAAAGAAAATGTGGTATATATACTCAATGGAATATTACTCAGCTTTAAAAAAGAGTGAAATTATGGCATTTGCCAGTAAATGGTTGGAGTTACATGAAGATGCTAATTCAAAATGAGGCCGGGGGCATTAGGGAAGAATAGCATTACCTTAGATTAGGTAGAGGGAAGTGATGGGAGGGAAGGAGAGGGGATGTGGGGATAAAGATAGTAGAATGAAACAAACATTATTACTGTATGTATATACGTGACTACATGACCAATATGATTCTGCAAGGTGTACACTCAAAAAAATAAAATTATATCCCATCTATGTATGATATATCCAATTGCATAAATGCATTCTACTGTCATGTATAACTAATTAAAACAAATAAAAAATTTAAAAAGAGTACAATACAAGTTCCTAAGGCCATGTTGATGTTTTATTTATGTTGCTGTCCATGATACTGCCCAGTATAGTAACTTTATATGTCCAGATGCTCAATAAACTTTTATTGCATTGAAAAAAAAATAAATATGTTACTAAAATATTTTAAAAGTAAGAAACAACTGAGACCATTCTCTGAAGTAATGCTGTGCAAGTCCCAAGAGTTTATACTGGCTAGACAGTTATGAGGATGGCTCATCTGCAATTTGTGGCCAGATTAATGCAATTTATATCTACTTCCTGAATTAAAAAATCCACTATGGGGCTAGGATTATGACTCAGCATTAGAGCGCTTGCCTAGCACATGCAAGGCCCTGGTTTGATCCTCAGCACCACATAAAAATAAATAAACAAACAAATAAACAAACAAACAAACAAACAAACAAATAAATAAATAAAGATACTGTGTCCAACTACAGCGAAAAAATAAATATAAACAAATCCACATTGCACAAAAAATAATTTTCTGTAAGATATATATTTAGAAAATATTTAAAAATCAGTGTGATCTGCCTTCCCTAACTCTTCTGAACCAATTATCAATGCACTCTTTGTTCCAAAGCCATCCCTCTTTTCTGTTCTTTCTGATCTTAGAACTGGGCCTTATAAACATTTCCTTTGTTACTGGGTATGATATTAAGCTTTGTCAGTAAAAAGCGCACAGGGACACTGCAGTAGAAACTGACTTCTCTTCCTGGTTCTGGTGTGCTTTTTCCTTTTTATTCCTGTGGCATCACCTATTGTGATGTGGGACACCTACAGGTGTTTGCTACTGAAGAAGTTTTAGTATTATCCCAACTGGTGGCATTCTATTTAATTTCACTAGTACTCTAGTAGCTGGTTTCACAGTATGTCTTGTGGCAGGCAGTTTTCTGCTTGCCAGTCTTGCTCTGTGGTACCTCAGTGAATGTCTAAGCCATCATTGGCCACAGTAATACCTTTCCAAAAAGATCTGTGAATCAGCTCAGAGGTGAGGAGGCCCTTTCCAAGTTTATTTCTCTCTCAGGTACTCTTCTGGAGCTCTAGAGATAGTAGCTGCTCCCCAAATTCGATTCCTATATTCTTTAGATTCTCTTTATCATTACTACTTAATAGCTCCTTATATTAAAAGCTATCTGCTTGAATTACTGTTAAGTTTCTGGCTGTCCATTGGGCCTTGACTGATTTACCTGAAAACCAAACCAAAAAACTAAGATAAAAACAATCATATCTGTAAACTCACCTCTAAAACATAGCACAGTATTATTAAGTTTGATAATACTGGAAAACAGCATGGCATTTGGCCAAACTTGTTAACTTACTGCCTTATAAAGCTGACTCTGCATATGGATCAACAGTGAGTCATTCTGTTGCCACAGATTTAATATTTCCTATTACACATTTCAGAAGGATGTATTAAATGCATGGTTCAGAATGTGGTTGTTTAGTTCTTTATAGGATGTGACAATAAAGAGAACTTGCTGGGTTTGTTTGCTGTAAGAACTAATATATTTGTGTTAAAGTTATAATGACAGAATTTTAAAAATCACTTTGGACAGTACAGAAAATTCTCAGAAGGTTGACAGAAATTGCCAACTACATTAAACTCTAATTATGTCATTCATTCATTCATTCATTTAATAACTATTTACTGTGTAGCATTAGGATATAGTGGCAAAGACAAGAGACAATATCCTAGTCTCATGGAATTTACTTTCTGTGGTCAAGGGAAAAACTTGTAAACAAATAAATATATAATACAATTTCAGGTGTTATAAGGAAAAAGAAAACAGGGTAAAATGGGTGCAGGTGTTGCATTAGGAGATGATTTAGTGTTCCATGTAACTTTTCCTATATATAGCATGCAATAAATGTTATAATAAATATAACCATGGTTATGTCTTAGGTATACTAAGAGGACAGGGTTTATTTAGTTCCATGAGGAATCAAACTGGATATACTCATACAAATCATAACAAGTTTATATACAGACCAATGAGACTTACCCTATAGAAAGCACTGGTCAAAGGGAGTAATGCTGCTGCAATGTTATATTCTTCTAAACTTGAACAATCCTTAAAAAGAAACAAAGACAAATGAAAATTATGGGATATTCACCAGAAATCACAAATATATGGAAACCAAAATAGAGGGATATACTATTTAAAGTTCTGTGAGGTTTTTACTTTTATTCCAAATTGTCACTAAGGCATAGTAGCTAAGTTGAAGGAGGGGTAGGAAACTCTCCCTGAAGTATATTCTTTTAGAAAAATGTAGTAGAAATACATTTGAGGAGGACATCATTTTATATACTATTGGTGAACAGCTACCTTCATTTATTATAATGACAGTTAAAGTTTGTATAATTTATACACAAAAAATTTAGAGGGTTTTTTAAATAGCAGATTTACCTACTGCATTTCATTGAGTCTAAGATTTTTCATCTCAGACTTTATCATCTCTGAGATTGGAATGCATTTTATAACAGACTGAAAGTATTTCTTCTTCTTAGTGTTTATCACTGAATCTAAAACCCATTAGGTAAAATTTTGGGGAATAGTATAGACAGAAAAATCTCAGTGGGAATGTAAAATAGTGCAGCTGCTGTGGAAGAAAGTACAGAAGGTCCTCAAAACAAATAAACAACAAAACTACAGAATGAGAAAACAGAATATATATAGACAAATGCAATAACTATATGCTCTAGCATATCTACTTATGGGTATATACCCAAAAGAACTAAAAATAAGAACTGAATGCAAACAGGTGAGGAAGTGGACACTCCATATATGTGGTGTGTGCACATAACATTTGCACATAGTATGGAATATTACTCAGCCTTAAAAATTTGACACATGCTATGACACGGATGAACCTCAGGGCCATTATACCAGGTGAATATTTGTATAGTGATACTAATCAGTCCTTCCTGATTGGCAGTGAAACACAAAGTGAGCCATAAAGAGGCAGGACTTGGAACAGTACCTAAGGGTAGCAAAAGCTGAACTAACACCTACCAAGAGAGTTAGATATAACGATTAAAGCTCCAACCTTAAACAATGTAGCTATTTTCATCAGAATGCAAATCCCTCATTCATCAGTTATTCATATTTGTATGAACTACCTTTAAACTTTAAAGAGTTGGTACCTTAGATATCAATTATTCCAGTGCAATTTCTCCACTTTCCAAATGACAGAAATGAAGCTTAGAAGTCAGCCACAGAGCCACAGCTAGAATCTAGATTTATCCACTTATCAGTGTGATGCTTTTTCCTCTAGACATTGCCTTTTGTTCTTGATTGTTTTCATCCTATTCTTGCAGTAGAGGATACGAGCTTTTTTTTTTTAAATATTTATTTTTTAGTGTAGTTGAACACAATATCTTTATTTTATTTATCTATATTTATGTGGTCTTGAGGATCGAACCCAGGGCCTCGCTCATGTGAGTGCTCTACCGGTGAGGCACAATCCCAGCTCCGCCCACCCCCCCACAGGATATGAGTTTTTTTTTTTTGGCTTCCAACAATAAGTTTGGAGTGTTAAGGAGGGAAGGTGGGAGAGAAGACACCTGAACTGGAGAACAGTAGGAGGCTTAGAGCTGCTTAAGTGCACTGATACTATCAGGGACAAGGGCTCTAGAATGCAGAAGAAAGAGTCAAAAGGCAAAGTGGAAACATATCACAGACAGCTTTGGCCTATTTCAAAATACTAATGGGGCTTGGCAGGGCCAGCAATGAGAACAGGGAGGGTGTAGTACATTCCTGAGGACAAAAGGAAGCTTTCTTTCATAAGTCATGGCCTAAAAGTGTCCATCTACCTTAAAGCAAGTCTTGCCTGGCATGAGTACATTTGGTACTAAGATCTGCTAAAAGAGTTCTCAATTGAATTTCATGCATTGTTAGTCTGAAAAAGTTTTAGAATGCATTGAATATTCAACTCCAATGAGTACTAAAATAAGAGAAATCTGTAATAAAAAAATCATTCTCATTTGGCTCATATTCTCTGACCAATTTAAAAAAAATAACTAAAAGAGAGGCTCAAATTTCCTATACTATACTAGATAGAATACTTCCAATTAATTCATCATATTGACTAATGTTTATTGTATAAATGAGTAAGTGAATGGATTAAGGTATATATGCAAAAGAGTAATGAGAAAAGGGAGCTAAAAATAGAAACTTTGGAAACACATATTTACAAAGATGAAGTAATGGAAAATCAAGATGGGGAAAGAGAATTAGGAGACAGCAGTATCATAGATGTCAGGAGAAGAAAGACCAGTAGTTTTGAATGCTTCGTAGGAAATTTGTTAAAGTTTGAGAAAAAGTCAAGATAAATGTAAGAGGCCATTGGTGGCTTCTGACATGATTAGGGTACAGTTGAGTAGATTAAAAAAGAAAAAATGGTTAATCAGCCACTTGAAAAGTGGGCAGAACAGAATGAATGCTAAGATTTTATCCAATCCTTTGCAATTCTTTGATGCTTTGAGAATTAGAGGGGATCCCAAATATGCCAAGGGGAAAAATGCAGTAGAGGATACGAGCTTTTTTTTAATATTTATTTTTTAGTTGTAGTTGAACACAATATCTTTATTTTATTTATTTATATTTATGTGGTCTTGAGGATTGAACCCAGGGCCTCGCACATGTGAGTGCTCTACCTCTGAGCCATAACCCCAGCCCCCATGGACAAGAGAGATGAAAAAGAAAGTTCAGAATAAGGTCTCTGGGATATTTCCTGGAAGTCAATATTGTGTTCATTTTTAAATCATGGTTATGTCTTGGAAACATCTCATTTTCGTACAAAGCAAATACGTAGAATTTGTATTGAATAGCAGGATCCTTGACAATATCAGCAAATATAACATGAGAGGAAAGAAGCTTATTATTATTATTTTTTTTAGTGTGGTCTCACAATGTTGCCGAGGCTAGTCTCAAACACATGGGCTCAAGTGATTCTCCTTTGTCAGCCTCTTGAGTGCTGGTACTAGAGGCATACACTACCACATCTGGCTAAAACACACTTTGACTCTATTAATCAATGCCAACAACATCTTTGGGGGGGGTGTTAAAATTAAGATATAAATAATACATACAATTATGGTAGCACAGACCATGATTTTTCAGTATTTGGTAAGGAAATAGACTGAAGTTGGATTTTAATAAATTAAATAATCTTTAAAAAAATTCTGCATTATCTGCTGAGCTTGGTGACTCATGCCTGTAATTCCTGTAACTCAGAAGGCTGAAGCAGAAGGATCGCAGGTTCAAAGCTATCCTCAGCAACTTAGTAAGGCCCTAAGCAACTTAGTGAGTCCTTGTTTTAAAATGAAAAATAAAAAGGGCTGAGGATGTAGCTCAGTGGTAAAATGATCTTGGGTTCCATCCCCAGTAATAAAAAAGAAAAAAAGAAAAAGATTATATCACCACCAACAAAATAGAAATAGGTTTATAACTTCCATTTCAATTGAGGTAAAAAAAAAAATGAAATGCTTTCTAGAAAAACAATGACAATCACAAGCACACACAATTCAAAGGCAAATAAGAAATAAGAGAAAAAGAAACCTATGGAAATATTTAGAAAAGAATAAATAAAAATAAAATAATAGCGCAAATGGATCCAGTGTTCTTTTTAAAACACAAAGGCTGTCAGTGAATCAAAAACAAGAATCCAAGGATCTGTTGTTTAAAAAAAAAAGCAGAAAGCACTCCTAGAGATAAAAAGAAGCATTACATAATGGTAAATAGCTCAATTTACTAGAAAGATGTAACCATTTTAAATGTGTATAAACTTAATAAATTAGCCTCAAAATATATAAAGCAAAACTGAAAGAAAAATATATTCGTAATTGTGCAGAAAAATTTTAATATATTGGTTTTAGTAGCTGACAAGTCAAACAGGTAGAAAACTTCGGAATCTTACAAAAAATTTAAAGAACTATTTCAAAAGTTGGAGCTAATGGACACACACACACACACACACACACACACAATGTATACAAAATCCTCTTTGATCTACTGTATTCTGCATGCCAATGCTACCAACTGGATGAATTTAGAAAAACTGACTTCATATTGTGCCATAAATAAGTATCAGTAAACTTCAAAAGATTAATATCATAGTTACAGTGATCAGACTACAGTGTAATTAGGTTAGAAATAAAAATGCATGTAAAGTACTTAAAATTATGTCTGGTACAGTGAACTCAATAAATGTTATTATCACTAAGGCAAGGTACAACTTAGGATCTCACACAATAATGTAATTATCTACTTTTTTTTTTTTTAAATGAAATGGATCTCCTTAGGTTTCTCAGGCTGGCCTGAAACTGTTGGGCTCAAGTGATCCTCCTGTCTCAGTCTCCCAAGTAGCTGGAACTATAGATGCATGTCACCATGCCTGGCTTGACAGCATTTTTGCTGTAGCAAATAAGAAGCAGTATCAATATTTATGGCAAGCTGTTGAATAAGTCATGCCTTTTTAGAATGTCTCAAAGTCAAAAGATTAGTAGAAACTAATGATATTGTTGGGTCTTAGATTTCCAGAATGAGTGTTGAGAGTAAATAGAAGGATCAACCTTTGAATAACAATTTTCATTCATTTACCAATATTTAATGAGTACCTACTATGTGCCAGGCATGTTGTAGTTAAAGAACTCAGGAAAGTATCCCAAGAGGGAAAACAGATGAAAACTAAGAACACATTTTAAATGACTGAGACGGATTTATGGCTGAATGGGACTCACAATTTGAAGGACAACCATGACCTTATTGATGTCTCTGTGGAAACTGTTGTTGAAATCTGATTAATGGGTGCATAGATTTGAAGTTGGATCAAGTTGTCTTTGGTTTTAATTTGAAAAATACTAGCTTCAGATACCTGAGTAATGTCTCTCTGGCACATGTGTTACAGACAGGACTGGAGGAGAAAAGACATATCAATCAATAAAAGAACCTCCTTCAAAGAGAATGATAACATCATCTGAAATATGACTTTTTGGCTAGCAGGCCAAGGACCTAGGTTCAATCCCCAGAACCATGGGGACGGGGGAGATGATGTGAAGATAGTCATTATC